TATTTACTGAAACTATTCTTCTGTTGAGTGATATCTTTCTGTGTCTCTTCCATTACAGATTTAAAAATTGCTGCTACAACACTCGATTCTTTAAACGTTACACTCTTAAATTCCACTTTGAGTTAGGTTAATTAACATTTAAACCAGTGTGAATTTCTCTAAATGTCGGGTTGGGCATGGAGCAGAGGGTGGGTTGTAAATTCCGCCTGTATAAGATACTCTGATACAATATATGACAATCTATTTGAGAGCATCTGACGGGTAATCGTGCTAATTTAGAGCTTTTTTGAATGAACGTTGGCTGGGATATAGGGTTTTAAAGTGCATGGTGAAATTTGCCAAAAAAACCTTAAAATCAAAATAACTCCAAAACGAAAAACGCTAGGTACCAATAACTTTTATGAAAGTCAACATATTTTTTTACGTACAATTAAAAGATGCAATAAAAACTGTAGCATTCCATTTAAAATAACGAAGTTATGGTCTACTTCCAACAACCCATACTACCAAAATTTCAAAACTGTACGAATACTGGAACCTATAAAAGTTCTAACGAACCATTTACGTGAGACACCCTGTACAGGAACAAATATAGTATATATAAATATATCTCTGCGTGGGTGGGACACAGAGATATTTAGTTTTTAATACAAAATGTACAGGGTGATTCTCAACCTATACGCATAAACTTGAGGATTGATGACAAATAATCACTAATAGATGAAAAAAATTGTAGTAAAAGTTTCTCTAAATCTAAATAATGTGTTTCCTGGAAATGAATAGGTCGTGATGGTCTAATGACCTGGCTACCGTGATCGCCCAACCTCAACCCTCTTAATTTTTACTTATCGGGTCACTTAAAAAGCAAAGTGTACGGAAGTTAATACTGAGCAAATATTGCAAAATCATTTTGTTGCTGCCCAGACAATTCGCCAACACCCTGCTTTAGACCGCGCTAATGGGAGATCATGGATTCCGGGAGGCCAATTGATAGAAAATATGTAAAATCACTTCGAACACTTGCTGTGATGTTATTTTAAAATGTTCTAAACAAAAAATCTTTTACTACAAATTTTTTCGCCTATTAGTCATTATTCGTCGTGAGGAGTAAATCCCCAAGTTTATGCGTATAGGTTGAGAATCACCCTGTATAATACAAATAGTGTATTTTTATATTCTGATCGAATAGGTGGACTATTGATTTGTTGATTTATTATTTTTCTTTGTAGATCTGCATTTTGCTGTATTTTGAGGAAGATATGATTTTGCAAAATTAATGTCCGTGTAGAAACCCAGAAACCAGAAAAAGCTTTTTTTTCCTAGTTTAAACGTAAAACACATCTAGAACAAATTGAATCAGCAAAGTTTGAATTATTTTAGATCGTTATATGTTTTTTAATTGTTATTGTGTAATTTAAAACCGCTGACGCAAGAATTACTGACTGAACATAGAAAAACTTTAATTTTCAAAGAGTAAAGTGTCCTTTATAGAGTTATTCTACTAAAAATAATAGCTGTTCCAGATTGCTTTAGGTATAATAAGTATATATTTGTAATATGGAATTGAAAGTAGAAAAACGACATCACGACATTTTGGCAGCCAAACCTATTTTTAGTTATAACTTCATAATGATGATTTTCTAGAACAACCCAGAACAACCAAGAAAAATGATTTTTCCTAAGGTGGGGGACTAGTCAAAAAAACCGTTTTTCGATTTTTCTCGCCGAGTTTTTATTTTTTCTATTTGCCGCTTTGGAACAATGTAGAACAACTCCAGAACAATCTAGAACCATGAAAAATTTAAAAATCAAAAAATGGGGGCTAACTTCACGCTCAACATAAAAATTTTTATGGATAGCACGAAAAATCTAATGTTACAACATTCTCTTTTATAATTCCGGCAAATTTATCCGAATTTTACAAGGAAAAGTAACATAACTCGTCGGCAAATAGAAGTAGTAAGTAAACTGACACATTGGCGTTCGGTTCTTCGATGGCGATCCGTTCGTACGTTCACTATATTCAATGGCCCTGCATGCGACCGTTTTATTAAAATGAATAATGGTTTCTTTCTCGGTCTCGGCGGCTGCACGCGGCGCCTCTGGCACCATCTGGCCGTAACAGCGCGCTTTTTACTTACGTCCCGCGGCGTCGCCCCGCACCCCCGTCCCTGGCCTACAGGGTCGGCTCTTCAACCGTCGACGCCGCCGACGCCGACGTTGCCGTCACTTACACGGCGCTCTTGGCTTTTAATTACAGGGCCCGCACGCTGCGGTGCCACTTCTCGCGGGGCTTCCCCAACTTTCGACTTCAAAGTTCGATCGAAACTGTTAATTTATGCTTGTTTGTGTCATAACAATCGATTATAACGATATAATTAATAAATTTCTTGTTTAGTATCTACGAGAACGGCATCAACGGCCAAATCCATCAAGACCCACAAGACTACAATTCTTCAGTTAAAAGACAAGCGACTCAAAATTCGTTTCTTTTCTCCCATCAAAGTCTTCTCCTACCAAACGTAAATCCGGCTGTTCCAAACTCACATTTCTTCGATTATTCCCAACATAGTCACAATTACGCCGCACAACACCGCCCTGAAGACGTGGCGGACACCAAAAATCTTCAAACTCGTGGAGACGAAGAATGGAGGAATATTCACGTAATGTTAAATTGCATACTTTCAATGGTCGAAAAAACAAAACGAGCCCTCACAATACTCCAACAAAGAAATAGTCAAGATATGACTAACGAATGGTTTCGTAAACAAGACGTAAGTGTTGATTTAAAAAAAGCGGCCAACGAAATCATGATGCAAGCGGTTAAACAAACCGAGGATAGAGTAGCAGAAGTGAAGCGACGAGCTGAAGAAGCTGTTAATGACGTCAAAAGACAAGCCGTTATTGAGCTTCAAAAAGCAGTCGCTGCCGCTGAAACGAAAGCCAACGAATTAATCGTTGCCGAAAGAGCTAAAACTGAAAAGTTGTTGTTAGATGCAAGGAAACATAGCGATGACGGGTCTAATCACCAAGAAAGCAATGAAAATTCACCTTCTAATATTCCACAACCGTCTCAACAAAATGTAAGTTTTTTTTCATAATCGCATAAAACACTTAATATTATTCCGTATTTTATGGTTATAGTCTTGTTGGAATTGTGGTAGAAAAGCTCACGAAACATGTTCCGGTTGTAACATAGCAAGATATTGCGGCCCATTTTGTCAACATAAAGATTGGGAAAATCACCATCAAGTGTGCAATAAAGAAAAAATGCGGCCTATTCGATCTTCGACGCCTAGCACAACGGTTTTACCAACCCACCAGACCAATAATCCCCCGGATACGGGAAAGTTTAAAAAGTGACCCGCAAGAAAAACGAGGAAAATCAAGAAATAATAATATTATTCAATTCAAAAATACTTACGTGTAATATCTCGTCAGCACGATCCAGATTAAGTTTTCCTTTCTGCTATGTATATTCGCGTCGGAATAATACCAAAGAAAGATTGTAATAAATGTACCTTACGCCGTTATAGTAGCTCCAATTTTTTAGATGTGGTCGTACTACGGTTCCCAAGTTTTTAATTTATTCTAGTCTCTCGTCCTAAGATTCGCATCGGCAATAAGTGTAGAATGTTAATGCAGGGTGTTATAACTTTGAATAGTAAGTTTTTTAGGAAATATTTATATTCAATGTAGAGAACATAAATTTCTTATGAAAGAACTTTAAATGCTACATTTTAATAAATTAACTGATTATTATTTATAATAGTTATTAGCAATCAAATTATTTTATTAGATTTCTGTATCTTATACGAACTAGATTCTGTCGCTGGATACACAAAATTCAATTTATTTATTCGTTGGATTTTCTCTGTAGTCTCACGGTTTGGAAACCTAGGACTTTATGGATAGAGCTTTTTCCAAATTATCTCGGTTTTATTATTGCCATAGAAATAATGCAGTATATAATAACTGTCTGTTAAATATTTCCGTTTCCCATCGCATCCCTAAAGATCTGATTCATTGCGACTTGAATGCACATTTAAAACTAATTAATGCTTGATATTTCCACGATAAAATCATTGTTTAAAATGATACCTTTCCCATACCAACAACTTAATTAGTAGCTAAATTATTACTGTATAAAAAGTTGTAAATAAGGTTGAATAATAGTACTTATCTACTAACATTTTAAAGTCATTGCTCACATTCTTAGCACTCCAACTTGCTTTCTCTCAAATTAGATTGCAATATCAATTAAATAACTACCATTACTTATTAATCAAATTTAGTGCAAATGTAAGATTCATTTAATTTAATCCCTAAACTAAAACGTAGACATTCTTTTATAAGAACTTTTGTATATCAATTCCCAAAACTGCCTAGCTGGGACGGAGCTATAAGTTTTGAGTGAGTAAAGAAAAAAATTTGAAAATTTGGGAATCACTAAAGAGTAATAGAAACTGCATTTTTAACAACCCCTGTCGAGTTTTACCTTATTTTAACGGTAATAAAAAAAGAAACACAACCCCATAAACCAAAACCTGATATCTTAATTTTTTCAAGAACTATGAGGGGTTGACTACCAAATGGATAAATAAAATGTTTTCATGTTTTTTCCACGTTTATTACGATTTTTATAACAAATGTTCAAGTTATCGACCTTCTTCTTATAAATGGAATTTTGAACCCTCAAAAGAAAAAATCGTATGGTGTTAGATCATGAGATCGTGGTGGTCACGCAATTTCACCTCTTCTACCAATCTAACGGTTTGGAAACGTTTGGCTTAAAAAGTCTCGGACTGCGCGATTAAAATGTGGAGGAGCACCATCTTGTTGGAACCACTTATTGTCAATAACATTAAGACATACAATTACATTCTCTCGCATAATACCAGCCCATACATTAATTTTCTGCGGTCTCTGAGTATGATCTTCTCTTATTAAACGTGGATTTTCGTCACTCCAATAACGACAATTGTGTCTATTAACCTTACCATTCAAAAATAATAAAGCAAAAAGTAGAACTTAATAGTAATATGTATAATTTAATTATACATGTTTCGAAACTGTTGTTTTATCTTCAGTACTTAAATTAATTTATAATTTGATGGAAATATTTAAGGTTTGTAGGGATTAGGTAATTAGGTTTTTGGAAACATAACTTATGTAAGTTATCAAGACAACTTATGTAAGTTATNATTCTTAGCACTCCAACTTGCTTTCTCTCAAATTAGATTGCAATATCAATTAAATAACTACCATTACTTATTAATCAAATTTAGTGCAAATGTAAGATTCATTTAATTTAATCCCTAAACTAAAACGTAGACATTCTTTTATAAGAACCTTTGTATATCAAATTTATACCAGGAATTTCATACAGGGCTTCCCAAAACTGCCTAGCTGGGACGGAGCTATAAGTTTTGAACGAAATTTGAAAATTTGGGAATCACTAGAGCAATAAAAACTACATTTTTAACAACCCCTGTCGAGTTTTACCTTATTTTAACGGTAATAAAAAAATGAAACACAACCCCATAAACCAAAACCTGATATCTTAATTTTTTCAAGAACTATGAGGGGTTGACTACCAAATGGGTAAATAAATATTTTCATGTTTTTTCCACGTTTATTACGATTTTCATAACAAATGTTCAAATGGAATCCAAATGGACAAATGATTAAATGGAATTTTGAACCAGCCCTAGTGATATTGGTGGTTTCTTCAAGTATGCGATTTTCCAAATCATATATTGATTCTGGTTTTGTTGCATACACTTTACTTTTCAGAAACCCCCAAAAGAAAAAATCGTGTGGTGTTAGATCAGGAGATCGTGGTGGTCACTCAATTTCACCTCTTCTACCAATCTAACGGTTTGGAAACGTTTGGCTTAAAAAGTCTCGGACTGCGCGACTAAAATGTGAAGGAGCACCATCTTTTTGGAACCACTTATTGTCAATAACATTAAGACATACGGCACGTCCATTTGGAACCACTTGATTTTCTAACAGTTGCAGATATCTGTCTCCGTCCAAATTTCCATTAATAAAAAATGGACCAATTACATTCTCTCCCATAATACCAGCCCATACATTAATTTTCTGCGGTCTCTGAGTATGATTTTCTCTTATTAAACGTTAACCTTACCATTCAAAAATAATAAAGGAAAAACTAGAATTTTTTTGAGAAATAGTAATATGTTTAATTTAATTTAAATAGTATACATGTTTCGAAACTATTGTTTCATCTTCAGTACTTAAATTAATTTATAATTTGATGGAAATATTTAAGGTTTGTAGGGATGAGGTAATTAGGTTTTTGGGAAAATAACTTATGTAAGTTATTTTTCCAAAAAATATTTTTAAAGGATTTTTTATTTAATTTTTTGTTTTTTGTAAATTTTAAATTATTTTGTATTTAAGAAGAAAAGCATGAACTTATACCTAATCCCTACAGACCTTAAATATTTCCTTCCAATTGTAAATTAATTTAAGTACTGAAGATGAAACAATAGTTTTGAAACACTATTTAAATTAAATTAAATATATTAATATTTCTCAAAAAAGTTCTACTTTTTCCCTTATTATTTTTTAATTATTTGAGAAATATGAGAAATTTCTGTCAACATCACAATTTTTAACGTACTATTACACAGAATTCCAACCTTCTTCCGAAGTCACCTTCGTGCAATTCCTGAACTAGGTGAAATAGTTATTTTTTTTCAAAATTCTGTGGACTGAACTTTTACCAATTTCATGTACCTGAGACGCTTTTAATAAGGAACTTGAAGGTTTTTCAGTAAGACAGTCCTTACTTCTTCGGTTTTTTCTAGAGTTGTTGCAGATTCCAGATCAATTCCAAGATCTTTCACAGTTCCCTTTTCTTGAAATCTTTGAACAGTTCTTTCGACTGTCGATTTAGAAATCGGTGGTCGTTGATGAAAGAAATCATTGAAGACGTGCCGCACTTCATCGTAAGATCTTGTTCTATCCCCAAAGCCACGAATCATTAAAAGAGTGATTCTTTCTTTTTTCGGTCAGTTTTTGCGCCATTTTTGGAGTTAATAAAAGTAAAATTTACAAAACAAGTTTGTTGAAAACAGTCGAAAGAAAAACCTCATAATTCTTGAAAGAATTAAGATATCGGGTTTTGGTTTATGGGTTGTGTTTCTTTTTTCATTACCTTTAAAATAAGGAAAAACTCGACAGAGGTTGCTATTTAAAAATGTAGTGGTAGCCATCCCCTAAGAAAACTCCACATTGCATGGAAGTTCTAAACTATCTAAGAATGTAGTTTTTATTACTCTTTAGTGATCCCCAAATTTGCAAATTTTTTTCTTCACTCGTTCAAGACTTACAGCTCCGTCCCGGAAGTTTTGGGAAGCCCTGTATAACTCGCAATATATGAATGCAGTAACCATAGTTACGAAACTAGGTACTATGCACTTAAGCAATAGCTTAATAGTACAGACATTGGGTAGTTTAGCAGAGAAAAAATTTTGCTTTGAAAAAAGTAACGTCTTTATCACAACTCTGAGTTTTTGGTCGTCTTAAAAAACGCACGGCTAAACCAGAATGTTTCTAGTTCTAGGTCTTCTGTTAGTTCTAGTGATAATGTGGATCTAGCACTACTCTTAGAATTAGAAATATTCGGGTTTAGCCATACGTCTCTTAAAACGACTAACCCGAAAGTTTCTGAGTTTAGTGTTAGTTCTAGTTTTAGTGCAATACAAATATGCAACATAGTAATATCTTATACTAAGTAGCGCTACCTACATACCACTGTCACTAGAACTAACATTAGAGCTGTCTTAAGAGACGCAAGCCTAAACGGGATGTTTCTAGTTCTAGTCTAATTTTATTTGTTATTTTAGATTGTTATATACACTGACCGGCAAAAAAAACCGGCCACTAAAATTTAGCCACAATTTCAAAGCTGGCTTTCTCGCGAACCACTCATTCGATTTGATGATTCTTTTTTTGATCGAAACGTTGATTCATCTGTAATAATCCTGCGATAGAAATTTTTATCCGTTTTGCCTGAATAAAGTTATTATTATTAATTTGAGCATATACGAGGTGCAAGAATGAGAAAAACCTTTTTTTTTCGAAATTTGTAGTATCCTGTGGGGTGCAGCTGCTACAACAGAGGGTGTTAACTGGAATCAAACGGTAGCCCAATCTTTTCTGAGCATTTCTGATCGCCTATGAAAACAAGACTAGTAACAATAGCAGCTGATGACCGTTTTATTATTCTAAGCAATCGTAGAACGACAGTTGTAGAAGCTCGGCGTTGTCTTCAAATGGTGCATATTGTTGATGTCAGTGAGAGAACCATTCGCTGAAAACTTGCTAGATGTGGTCTGGCTGCAAGAAGGCTGCCAAAGGACCGAGGCTGCATTCAAGATATCGACGAGCAAGTCTTCAATCTGCGCGCTTTCATGTGAATTGGGAGGAAATGAAATGGAGGAAAGTCCTTTTTACGGATGAGTAGTGGTTTTGTCTATTACCCGAAGGCCGATGAGCGAATATGAAAACGTTAAAATGAAAGATTTGTGGACTATACAATTATGAAACGCGAATGATACAAAGCTATTCGTCCGGGCTGCACGCTGGCCACTCCATTCGTTCAATACCCTACCTCATCAAGATATTCGTATAACCACACGTGCAACGTGCGGTTGCGCATTGTCATGAATCCGTTCTATTCTATGAGAATAGAACCTCCATCGAAAGATACTCTTTCCGAAATTGTGCTAGTCGCAAACTTTTCATTAAGACGTCTCCACACTCGTTCTCGACTATCAGGTGACCTGAGACAAAATCTGGACTCGTCAGTGAAGAGCACTTTACCCCATTGTTCTATTCCCCAATTCATATGTACGCGCCCAAATTGAAGACGTGCTCGCCGATGATTGTGGAGCAGCCGCGGTTTTTTGGCAGGTCTTCTTGCAGTCAGATCACTTCCAGCATGTCTTCGATGAATGGTTCTTTCACTTATGTCAACAACACGCACCATTTGAAGACAATGCCGAGTTTCTACAGCTGTCGTTCTACGATTCCTGAGAGTGTTTAGAATAATAAATCGTTGTCACTCGTCTTTTACCGAAATCTTGCCGCCTAGTTAAATTTCCTGTTTCCACATATCGGTTCTAGGCATCCTGAACTGTTGTTCGGAGTATACCCAACGTATGGGCAACGTACCGCTGACTTTTGCCATCTTATAATAAAGTAACAATACGCGCAACATCAGTTACTGACAACGGCATTGCTATTATGTTAAAAGACTATGAACATCTTTAACAATTGTCAATTTACTATTCGAAACAACTGACATACGCTACCTAGCGCGCCACCTTAGATTTTGTATGCTTGTTTTCACAGGTGTTCGCTTTAAAACATTGTATCTTCGTTAGTAACAGAGATAATAGAGTGAATAATAGTATATTATTATATGAGCATATAATGAGGGCTATTATTCACGAAGCTTAAGTTTATGATTATACAGGTGTCCCGAAACTCAACGTCAAGCGCGCACCGGGTGAGAGGCCAACCCATACCTGTTCTGGTAAAAATAAGAAAAAATTCTCTGTCTCTTAGTTAAGTGGTAATACATATTTTTGAAAATGTTAAAAATCGTCATACAAAAATATGAATTTTTTAAAAAACGTGTTTTTTGCAGAAAAACAGGCAATGATATTTATATTAGGTTCGTTCCAACCGCACAAATTTGACTCGTTGTGTACGCGTACACGACTAGTACAGGACTTTTTTCTGCGCATGTTCGTCCGTGGACACGTTCGTGTACGCGTACATTTCGTCAACGCTGTTGGAACGGTTTTCAATTTCTATGTACATTTTATATCTAACCCTGCCGATAGTTAGCGCTGCAACCACAATTTACCATTTCAAACGAAATCCATTTAATCATTTTTTTAACAATAATGAACTAAAGTAGCATTAATTACAAATGTAAAAAAAAGCGTAATAACCCTTACTAGAAAAATGAAATAAAAATATGCATGTTTTTTCACTTTTTTGATTAAGTTGTCTATGAAACTTATCATAAAACATACATATAAAATAAAAGTTCTTAAAAATTTGTTAAACAAAACACCAGAAACATGTAAAAGAGTAGAGAATAATCCAAATCCAACTGTACAGGTGTTCAAATTTCGATGGGTTTGCAGGGTATCTCAGTTATTATGAAAGATAGAAAGTTGCGGCTTTCGCGAACCTGAACTACTAGTTTTGTGAAACTTACAATGGCGCAAACCAAATTTTCATAGCCCTCTTCGTTTTGGATGAGTGTTTGATATTTACGATTTTCAGACACCTCCTGTATCTCGGCTATCCGGAAACTTAGTAGAAAAGTAAAAACGGGTTCTACTAGATTTTTTCACGTGGAATCCAATGGTGCACGTAGAATTTTTCTAGTCATCACGGTTTTTGAGTTATAAACACAACTCAAATACTGAATACTCAACTTCTAAAATACTTAACTCTTCATAACTCAAAAACCGTGATGACTAGAAAAATTCTACGTGCGCCATTGGATTCTACGTGAAGAAATCTATTAGAACCCGTTTTTACGTTTCCGGATAGCCGAGATACAGGAGGTGTCTGAAAATCGTAAATTTTGAAACACTCCCTGTATATCAAAAACGAAGAGGGATATGAAAATTTGGTTTGCGCCGTTGTAAATTTCACAAAAAAGTAGTTCAGGTTCGCGAAAGCCGCAACTTTCCATCTTTCATAATAACTGAGATACCCTGCAAACCCATCGAAATTTGGACACCTGTACAGGGTCTGTCACGACGAGCTGAGTCTATATGTATATGGCAAACTACCTGCACTATTTTTATGAAAATTTGCATACGGGTTTACCCGAAGTGCTCGTTTCAGCTAAAATATTTTCAGATTTCTCCAACTTCCGGTTATACCGGAAATGGACCCTAACTTCGTTATTTTCACAACTTTTATTGAATTTTCGAGATCCCCGCCAAATTTTAATACAATTTGATATAAGTCGTCATACGTTTTTCATGTCATTTTTCAATTATTTCAGTCTTTTCGAAAATTTTGACAGATGCAACCCTTCACAATAAATATAATTTTTCGAAATTACACTCGAGTCCGGCCAAATATTCTCAAAGTTTGCACAGAGACGACCCACAGCTTACATAATGCTTGAAAAGCAACCCCAAATTGGGGTTGCCATTTAAAAAGATGAAATTTTCGACTTTTCGAGATAGGGAAATTCGGAACAAATTTCTGACCACTCTGTATAATTTTTTAAAAAACTTTTAAAGGGTTATGTAACCTATGGGTCCTCTCTGTGCAAACCCTGAGAATATTTGACCGGACTCCTGTAAATTTCGAAAAATTACTTTTATTATGAAGGGTTGCATCTGCCATAATTTTCGAAAAAACTGAAATAATTCATAAATGGTGCACTCTAGACATATGATGACTTGTATCAAATTATATTAAAATTTAGTGTGGATCTCAAAAATTCTATAAAAATTGGTACATTCCATTTAAAATAACGAAGTTGTGTCCATTTCCGGTATAACCGGAACTTGGAAAAAACTGAAAATATTTTAGCTGAAACGAGCACCTCGGATAAACGCTATATAGAAATTTTCAGTGAAATAGTGCCAGTAGTTTGCCACATAGATATAGACTCAGCTCGTCGTGACAGACACGCTTGATGGTAAAGATACCCATAAGAGATACAAACAGACCGGCTGCACAATTGGAAATGAGTTATGCGTTATTATGCGCAAGCGCTAAAGAACGTGACAAACCGTACATCGTCGAAACCAGGTACGCATTTGACTTGTCGCGGACGCGTGCATGAACGCGTCCGACGGTCGTTGGAACTCATGACAACTTGTCGCCGACCAGTCCGCGGCACGTCCACGGGTCGGATGGAACAGCACTTTTCAACTGCGCAGGCTGGTGACTGTCAATTGACAGTCAAAAGTGCGGTTGGAACGAACCTATTATGACAAGAAAAATGGCAAGTGTTGTACCATTTTGGAAACTTGACTATACAGGCCATCTTTTAAAATTACTTGCCAAGGGTGTTGTACTACTCCTTTTTTTAGAAATCGTGTGTCAAACTTGATAGACATAAATTCTTTCAACCTTAACTCAATCAAATTAATATATTTTTTTGCAAAACTAACGATTTTTGTTGTTTGATTTGTGACTTCTGCAGTAACATGGTTCATAAGGAATACATTATTAAAAAAATCACTATTAAATTGCGAACATTTCTCACCGTAGTACCTAAATGATGTACAGGACCGATTTTGAACGTTTTCAAAAATATGTCTATTACCACTTAACTAAGAGACATGGAATTTTTTTCTTATTTTTACCAGAACAGGTATGAGTTGGCCTCTCACCCGGTGCCCGCTTGACGTAGAGTTTCGGGACACCTGTATAGGCATAATTAACCTGAGTGAATAATAGCTCATTATATGTGAGTAGAATACTATACTTTGCCCACGACTATTGAAATTGATTCCATAAATTTATCTTTTAAATAAATTTCTGAATAAAATTTAAACGTCAAATGTGACACAAATTCAATGTCACTAACTGTCAAAATTACTTCACAACAATTTGTCAAAATTAATGTCAATTTTATAAAACGTCGTTTTTTTTACGAAAATGAATTAATTTATTTAGGTTTTTTAATGTCAAACCTTTAGAAACTCCTAAAAAATTGAATTAAATTGACGTTTTTTGATATTTTAACGTTTCAAATAATTATTATTAGTCTGTCAAGTTGGTGTCAAAAAGTTTTTCTCATTCTTGCAGCCCGTATATGTTCAAATTAAAATCTGCATGAAAATTTCTACCGCAGGATTATTACAGGATAATGGTTACCCATGAACTTTGATTATACATAATATGGATATATATGTATGGATATGGAATATGGCAAGGTGATCGAACCGAGATAGACATAGAAGCGTACTGCCATATAATGGGTGTACTGATAGAAGTGAGATAGATATAGAAGCGTACTGACATATAATATATCTATCTTTGTTACACTTTCACATTATCGCTTTCCATCTGCGTCTATTCACCTTAAGCAACATTTTTGTTAGTAGATATATTCAGTTAGCTCAATCCATATTATATATAATCAAAGCCCATGAATAATGATGTTTTAGAAAACTCATTCATAAAGTATATATTATAAGGTAGACAAAATCTTCATAAAAGATTGAGCTACCGTTTGATTCCAGTTAACACCATCTGCTGTAGTAGCTGCACCCCACAGGGTATTACAAATTTCGAGAAAAAAAGTTTTTCTCATTCTTGCAGCCTGTATATGTCCAAATTAAAATCTGAATGAAAATTTCTACCGCAGGATTATTACCGAAGAATCAACCTTTCGATCAAAAAAAGAATCATCAAAATCGAATGCGCGGTTCGTGAGAAAGCCAGCTTTGAAGTTTTGGCCAGATTTTTTCCCCGTATTGATCCGTTACATTGAGGTTTTACTGTAATGTAAAATTACGTTGATATATTGCATTTTATGTGGGACAAAGTAAGTAGATACGCCCATATTTCTATGGAAATTATATTGCATCTTAAGTGAAATTCACTAAAAATGTTATATTCAAACTTATAACATCCTGTATATGACGATATGTATAAGTGTACATTTTCATGTTATTTAGTGTTTTAAATTTTTCCTCTTCAACGAAATATTTCCTTTCGTATTATTTTTTTTTTGTTGAGTCTCACTAGTCGTAACCAAACATTGTTTCATTGTAATTTTTCCTCCTGTGAAAATAAATTTAAATGTCAAATTTTACATTTATTTTGAAATTGACAATTATACCATAATTCACATTGCAAAAGAAAATCCCTAATTATCAATTAGAGGTTAGCATTTTTGATGAGATAATCATCAAAATTCAATGTGAATTTCAGTTATTAAAAAGGACTATGAGTTAAATTAATCTACAACATTTCGAAGGTAAGTTTCATTGATTTTGACTTTTACATTTTAATTTATTATGTTTTTAACAGTTTGGTTAAATTTTTTAAATCGTTTACTTTATCAACTTTATTCAAAGAATTTTTCCATTCTTCTTTATTCCGTTTAAATAGTGCCAAATCGATTTTATTGGCAACAATTTTTCCGCATTCCGAATTCGACCAAAGCCCATCTTTTTGTGCTAATTCTTGTATAATATTTAATTTATATTTTACTCCGCAAACGTTCCAAATCGCTTCAAAACTTCTTGAGCCATATTTAGTGCCAGCCAAATCTTGATAAGAACCTTGTAACTTCCTTATTAATCTCTCCCGACTTTTTTCACCAATAAATTTACTTTTCATGAAAGAATCAACGATATGACTCCCCATTGTATTCGAAAATAAACCTTTTAAATCGCCCAATTCCATGTCTAAGATTAAATTAATTATTTTAATGGGTTTATTGAATTCTAAAATGTTTTGGAGGATTAAAGTTCCGTGTAAATTAAGTTTTTCTTTTTCCAAGTTTGTTGTTTTTGTGTTTTGGAGAGTTTCGTAATTGATTAATTTGCATAAACAAATAATAAATGATTTTTCTTTATCTTCAGATTCAGAACAATGTAACGACTTCATTAAATTCTAGAAAATTACAAAAAAAATGGTAAGTTTTTAATCGAATTAATAATTAATGATATAATTAACCTGAATTAAACCTCCTTGTTTTGATGAAAGGTTTTTACAACCTTCTGAAAGAGCAAATAAAACCCCAGAGTGTCCATTATTGATAATTTCTTCAAAATGATCATTTAATTCATCAAAAATAGCTTCAAATTCAACTTTTTCTTTGCAATTTAATAATAATTTTTGAATTACAAAGTTTGTGTTTCTTGTGGTTGCTAAAGAAGCGATTCTCCCTGAGAAACACTTTGCATAAATTTGAGTGTAATGTTTTGGGGATGCTGTTTCAAGAGTGGTTTCCAACACCATTAAAGCAGGTTTGGAATAAAATATTTGAGGCCAATTCTTCTTATTAGAAGATGTATCTTCGTTTTGTTCAGAAGTAAAACATTCATCAATCAATTTATTAATAAATTTTTTTAATAACTTAGCATCAACTTTTGCTAAACCTTTCAATAAAACTTGTAAAAGCCCTGAGGGTAACTCTGTATAAGGTAAATCTCTAAATTGAGGCCAAGCAAGTAACCTCTCTGCAAAATCAATTGCTAACTGAGAATACTCCAAAGGAATATCTGTTTCTATATTTTTATTTTGGGATTTTAATGGTTCCTTTTGAATTTGTAATAATTTTTCGAAAATACTTCTTATTACATGATTAACATAAGTTTCCCAAACGAAATCTTCGAGATTATTCACCAAAAATTTGCTTACTTTTAACACAAATTGTTTAAAAGATTCTTGTTGTTCTTCATCAACATTTTTAGCAAAAGATCTTTTATAAGCTTCTGTAAACAACGCCTCGATAACATGACTTGAAAATCTATCATTACACAATGGTCGTAAATCCGTCATAAATGCATCTAAAAAACGTTGAATTATCGAATCGTTAGCAAAAGGTAAAAGAGTTTCAATGAATCGAGATCCAACTTGATTACAAGAAAAGTTCAATTCCTCCCCTTCAGTTCGTTTAAATACATTTTCAATAAACATCTCTAAAAATTAAAAATTAATCATGTTAAATTAAGTTATTTGAATTACTTTACTTTTATTTTCTTCTGAATCAAAACCTTCACGAAAAGCTTCCATACTTTTCACTACATATTGGTAGGTGTCCGCATCTAATTGAACCCCACGACCATAACAACCCTTTTTACCATACTTTCTTGCATTCTTTAAAAAAGACTTCTTCCTTTTACGTTTATACTTATTTTGGTCTTCATTTGTATCCATTTTTAAGAAAATTTAGAGGTTACTTTAACCTAAAAATGTCACATGTAAAAGATTACACCGATTTATTCGCCATCTATTGGTGCATTAATAAAGTTTTATCTTTGCAGATTAAACGCGAGATGTCGCTTATTTTTTTGTTAATCAAATTTAATTGTTATTAATTTTATTTTCATTATTTTTAGGTTTTAATCGAATTTAATTCAAAATAATTTAGTTTTTACTATCACCCGTTATCTTAATACTTAATTTTTTTTATTTCTGAATCAAAACCACGGAATGCTTCCATACTTTTCACTACATATTGGTAGGTGTCCGCATCTAATTGAACCCCACGACCATAACAACCCTTTTTACCATATTTTCTTGCATTTTTTAAAAAAGACTTCTTCCTTTTACGTTTATACTTATTTTGGTCTTCATTTGTATCCATTTTTAAGAAAATTTAGAGGTTACTTTAACCTAAAAATGTCACATGTAAAAGATTACACCGATTTATTCGCCATCTATTGGTTCATTAATAAAGTTTTATCTTTGCAGATTAAACGCGAGATGTCGCTTATTTTTTTGTTAATCAAATTTGATTGTTATTAATTTTATTTTCATTATTTTTAGGTTTTAATCGAATTTAATTCAAAATAATTTAGTTTTTACTATCACCCGTTATCTTAATACTTAATTTTTTTTATTCGAAAGTTATAAAAATGTTATAAACATTTACGCAACATTTTTCAATATACCAATAAATTAATAATAAAAACTGGGTCGTACTTTGTCTATTAGGTTCAATGTGCGATAAAGGTTATCTTCCAGATTTTTTTTTAATTAAATTTGCAATCTTGGAGCGGAAAGTTCCAAAGAGAAAAATTTATGATCATGAATTGATGATGATTACAAATTCAATTCTCACTATTGCATTTGTAATACTTAATTGAGTGATAAATTTACATTTTTTTTGTGCAATCTAAAACGATACACGTGGTGCTTATAAATGATGAATTAACACATAAAAAAGAGTGAAATTAGAAAAAAAAAGGAAAGTTAAAAGTATTTTTAACACTATCATATGCCTCTTGGCACGGTTCGTCTTCATGAAACATCGGCTTGACGTTCCAAAATAGAACTTGCAACAATTTTTTTTCCTATTAGTTTTGTATACTTGCCAATTGACGTTGTAAATTACCAATAAGTACTTAGTATTTGTTCTAAAGATCGTTTTGTTATGAGCGTGAATATAAGAAAAGGAGAAAATTGAAATTGTTGCATAACATTTTTTTTTATTTAAATGACTTTAATTTTTATGTTGGGTATGCAGAAATAATTTTATGATCTCAAGGTCATGTTCAATCATCGCAGGAGTTCCTTTTAAGAGTTTCACACTGATAAAAGGTCATTTTGTGTCAGTAACACAGATAAAAATTATTTTTATGTACTATTTGTTATAAATTTAACGTTTAAAAATTGTTTTTATGTTGATTAGAACAAAAATAACTGGATGATTATAATTTATTTTATATCCAACGATTTTAGTCAACCGAAATTTTATTCTGACTCATCTAAATTTTTAGAATGACTCAGGTTTATAGCCACTAAAGATTGATTTTTTCTTCTTATAACATTCTTACCATATTCATTTCTATGTAACGTGTATGAATTTGAAAATTTTCTGCTTCAAATAAGCTATGCGAGGTGAAGATGTTGCTGGTGAGTTTTTTATGTAGACTGGACGTCGCGTCTTTATATTTTTGTGTTGATAAAATAATAAATAATAATATATATACAGTTCGCGTCAAAGAAAACGGTTCGAGATATCTATTGTTGTGTTGTCTATTTTTGTATCTATGAGGCATCAAGTTTTAACGAATGCCATTTTAATCGAACATACAGTTCTACACAATACAATGAACCTAACTTCGTATTACATAATAAAATTTGCCATATTTTACTTGAGATTATAAATAAATAAAACTAACTTTCTTTTCTTACTATGATATTTTGATATTTTACTGGAACTGCAAAAGAATGATCTAGTCTCTTATAGGCAGTATCTGACCTTCTGCCAACTTTAATTAATTCTCTGCAAACCGGAATAGTCTTATATCAAAAGCATCTAGTCTCTTAATGCAACAACTATTCTTCTGCAACTAGTGCCCACTCTTTTATTAGTAGTATGTAGCCATCCATCAATAGTATCTTAACCTCTATCAACAATATTTAACTTTTTACCAGCAGTATATAGTCTTCCATTACCTATATCTAGTTTTCTGCAAGCAGTGTCTAATCTTATACAAACAGTCTCTTCTGCCAACTGTCATTAGTCTTCTGCAAGCAATAATGTTACAAACGAAAATAGCTTTAATTGAGTTAGACCTGATAGTGGGTTGTGTCTTTTTGGTTCATTATAAACAATTTATATCGAAAATATTGTTCTCCAACATTTTTAATTTATAACCAAACACATTAAGGTTTAGACATAAAAATATCTTGAAATGTTTACAATTAGATTTTGATAGTCATAATCTTTTTTCGTGGTGATTTTATCTGGAGAATGATTGAAGTAATTGTTATTTAAGATAGCGATTATTCTATAGATAATCTTACACAAAACTATTTAATCTATTACCTTTAAAAGATTATAGTGCGGTAATTCCCATAAATAACTTCATCATTTTTTTTTACTAATTCGATTTAAAATTAATAAAAATTTTTAAATGTTGCAAATAAATTTAAAAACACATCATAAAGGAATTTCAAATTGGAATTTTCTGGATCACGACTAATTAAAGTCGCGATATGATACAATCTTTTTTTTGTTTTTAATTTATAATGGTGACTCGTATTATTTGTATCTAAAGTAATAAATTTTTTGAGTCATAAAATTATCACACTCAAAATAGATAATAATAAATATGATTTTTTTTAATGTGTTTTATAAAATTACTTTACACGTAATAACAAATATTTAGAATAAAAATTAATTAAGTTAATTAATATGGTCACTACTTCGAAATCGTTATCATTCAGAAATTTGTTGTGTTATCAAATAACGTAAACGATAAATAATTTAGCGCGTAGTTGAAAGTGAAAAGTAACATTGACACAACCATATTGGATTATAAACATACTACGTAAACATTTCTGTAATAAACATCAACTGTTTACAAGTGAATATTAAGTACTTATCAGAGACTCAGATTAGACATTCCATTCCTAATCCTGAACGGTCATCTCCAAACCCTATTTCTCCTTTGCTTTAATGTTTCTTCTTAATTACAGACTTTTAAGGAATGATCATGAAGATTTAGCTTTATACAGGGTGTTTCATAATATATGCGCAGAACTTCAGGATGTGATAGCTTGTCCAAAAATTTGAAATGAAGCTGAATGAGCTCTAAAGTTGACCGTTTTCGAGAAAAATAACTTTTATGTTGAATAACATGGTCAATTTTTTGAAATAAAAATTTTATTTGACTGAAATGTTAGAACAAGTAACAAAAGCAAAAAACGTTAACTTCATAATTGCATAATTAAAAAAAAAACAATTACAAATCATACACTGTTAAATTAAATGTTGGAAATGTCTGCCGTTAGCTTCAATGCACGCAGCAATTCTTTGACGCATTGACTGTCTAACACGCAGGAAAATTCCCAGAGTATTTCGAATTATGTCGTAAGATACAATAATGCGCTCTCTTAATTGGTCAACATTTTCAACTAGAGTAGCGTAGACTACTTAGAGTTTTCAGATGGCCCCAAAAGAAAAAATCTGGACCTCCTCGACCGATCCAACGTTCTGGGTATTCGAAGTATTGGCGAGCAACCTAACTAAAGTGGGCCGGAGCTCCATCATGCATAAAATACATGTTTTGTCTTACTTGAACATCTTCCAGCAGTTCTGGCAGTACTTCTTTTAGAAATTGTCGATAATCTGCACCGTTTAATCTGTTCGGTAAAAATGTGGGCCTATCAAATGATCACTGACGATGGCAGCCCAAACATTTACGAAAAATTCTTCTGCAATTTCATGTGAATTTTCTTCTGCACATATATGATTATTGTGAAAATTGAAAATACCATCCTTCGAGAAAGATGCTTCATCGGTAAACAGAACTTCGGCTCCAAACTCAGGATTTTGAGCTATTTTGTCTTGCATCCATGTACAAAAAGCCAATCTTGGCAATAAGGCTTGTACTCTTTGAATATGGTAGGGATACAAAAGTTGTCTTTCCAAAATTCTTCAAACCGTCGAGTGAGATAGGTTTAAGTTTTGAGCAATTTTTCTGGTACTTGTGGTCGGATTTTCATCAATTTCGTTGAGGACAGCCTCTTCTGCTTGGGGATTTGCAACTTTCATAGGCCTTCCATTATCAGCAGTATTCTCAGCAGTATTCCTTTTAAAACGTTCATTTTCCCATAGTTGTTGGTGAATGCGTAGAAATAAGTTATGGTGTGGTACTGGGCAATCAGGATGTCTTTCTTGATACAACCACCTTGCTTTTGCCGAATTACCGCACGCATTTCGCACATTTCAGCGTTTGTGTCATTCATTTTTAATTTTGTAATACAAGTTTACTTTTTGCATGTACAAACTAAGTGTTATTTTGACAGGAGGTAGCTTTTGTTATAAAATTTAAAGCCTACTTGTTAAAAATATATTATACAATTTTTACACAAACGCCGAAATGTGCGAAATCTTTACGGTTTGGAGAATTTTGAAAAGACAACTTTTGTATCATTTTTTCATTTTTCTTATTTGGCAATCATGAAGTTAACGCTTGCTTTTGTTACTTGTTCTAACGTTTACATAAATTTTGTTTAATTGTAAAATAAAATTTTTATTTCAAAAAATTGACCATGTTTTTTAACATAAAAGTTGATTTTTCTAGAAAACGGTCAACTTTAGAGCCCATGACCTACAGTACCTTTTTTGTGTAGAAAACATTGACGGTTCAAATGGGCGTCTCAAAATCATACTTTTTCCAGTGGCGTAGAAGTTGGGTAGAAAAACAACCACTACCCCTTCAAAATCTTCACCAATTATGACTTTAAAAAAATTTTTTCTCTCACAAAACTTAGCTTATTATAAGTGGAAAATGCTTACAATCACTGTTTTCTGTACGATAAACGGTTCCGGAGATATTCGCAAAAAAAGAATATTTTTGTTATTAAATTTCAACACCCTGTATCTCAAAAATGGTGCATTTTAGAGGGTAAGTTGATAGAAACTGTTTTTTAAATTTTTCGACAAGCTATGACATTCTGAAGTCCTCCGCATATATTATGAAACACCTGTATATTAAAGAGATACAGGGTGTCAGATAAAAAACGCCCCAAGCTGTAACTGTGTCATTTACATTCCGATTTTTATGAGCGAGGTATCAAATGAAATGATTTGATGAATACTATGATTCATGCTACAAATAAACTTTTTCCAACGCCATCTTCAATTTCAAGCGATTATTAGCTTTTGTTTTTCAAATTGCTCCATATACACTGTGTTTATTAATTATCGTACCCGACGTCATCATTGCAAGTATGCAACACAATACGCGATTTGCGTATTGCAACCAATATCACAGTATTGGTACTGTGATATTGGTTGCATACTTGCAATGATGACGTCGGGTGCGATAATTAATTAACACACTGTATTGTTCTTCATGTCATTGGATAGAGATTGTTTTTCTGAATCCATTGGTACAATCATGTTCACGGGAAATGCACATTCAAGGTCAAGCGCTGTTGTGAGATCCGACACGAAGCTCGTGGGCGTTCGGTTCAGATCATTTAGCCAGCTGCATGTCGGATCTCACAACAGCGCTTGACCTTGAGTGTGCACTTCCCATGAACATGACTGTAGAATACATCCATTTTGAATGTAATTTTAACAGAGAAAAGACATCCTGTATACACAGGTTGTCACACAAGAACGCCGCAAGCTATAACTCTGTCATTTACCTTCCGATTTTTATGAGCGAGGTATTAAATGAAATGAAATTCAAGCGTTATCAAGTTTTGATTCCTCGGTATGTTTTTCTTCACGTTATTGGATAGAGATTTTTTTTTCTGAACCTATTGCTGTACAATACATTATCATTAATTGTAATTTGAGCAGAGGAAAATAATTAAAATATTTTCCGAACATTGTCTTAGTCACTTCTGCAATACTGTAGTGTGCCATGGAAAAAAATTACGTGCAAAACTGATAACAGTCATTAAATGATATTTCAATGCCTGAAGCAATTGTAAATGATTATTTTTTCTCATGGCACACTACAATATAACACAAGTGACTTAAAGAGAATGTTCGGAAACTATTTTAATGTTTTTCTCTATTACAATTACAATTAATGTTAATGCACTGGGAAACGGCGTTTTACGCCGGGGTTCTGTTCCGAGAGACACCGGCGTAAACAAAATCGGCGTAAAATGAACACAAATATAATGGACAGTATAAGGTTAGGTTCCTGTTATGTTTATTTAATACATATCCTATATATATTCAAAATAAATAATAATCTCTTGATATAAATAATAAATTTTTTGAAATAAATCCAAAAATCCAGTTTCATTTGCTTTGATTGTTGCTTCCTTTCTTGCAGAATCATAACATAAGGTCGAAGGGCAGCTATGACACTTCTTTTAACATTTGCGCTTCGATTGTAATCCCCATCTATGTCACAGAGCTCACCTGTTAACCTTTCTATAGAGGAAAGGATACGAGTTAGATAGTCGGTTTTTAGAATTTTCTTTCTCATTCTCTTCTTCTTCTTCGGGATTTTCTGATTGAGGGCGATCATATGCCTCCATCAACTCTTCTAATTCTTGATTTGAGATTGGTTATTCATGCACGTCTAACAGTCCGGTCACATCTTCAGTTGTTACGTCTTCGAATCCACATTCGCGTGTAAACTTGATAATGTCTTCGTTTATGTTAATGTTATTTACCACTTCTACACTTGCACCTTGTATAAATCCAGGAACAAGTTTACACCAAACGCCGTTTAAACAATTGTTTGTCACTTCGTCCCTCTTAGCTTTTGTCAAGACCTCTAAAAGCCCGTGGATTCTGGGAATGGTACACTACCATTGGCTTAAATTTTAAAGAACCAGAAATATTTGATTCCAAGAGAACAGTCAGTCTATCCTTGGCGGCTTTAAATCCACGCGCACTACGTTCTTCTCGCGAAATAAATGTTCTCGATGGCAACTTCTTCCAATAGAGGCCTGTTTCATCAAAATTGAAGATGAGATCTGCAGGGTAGTTCCCTTGTTCCACAATTTCTTGAAACTTTTAAAGGTAAGCTGCTGCTGCTTCTACATCAGCGCTCGCCGCTCGAGGTTTAAACGGATATTGGTTCGAGATTTGAGTCTCGTGAAGCACCCAGTGCTTGCCAAGAAAGTTTCGTCAGTGATTTCTTGCGCCTTCAAATCAGAAAAATCAACTGTGCTTTTTCGCATATGATTGCTAGTGTTACAGGAATATTCTTTTGATTGGCATCATCAACCCACAATGCCAACATTTTTTCCATTTTCTCTATATTTTTTTATTGTCGTCTGATGTCAGGCGAACCGGGGAATCCCACGCCGGCACCAACCGGCGTAATTGTGAATCGGCGTAAACCGAACTGGCGCAAAACGACGTTTACCTGTATTGTACAACAATGGGTTCAGAAAAAAGATGTCTATCCAATAACGTGAAGAAAAACATAGCGAGCATAGCGATGAATCATAGTATTCATCACACCTTTTCATTTGATACCTCCCTCATGAAAATCGGAATGTAAATGACAGCTTGGGGCGTTTTTTATCTGCCACCCTGTATATTATATCTCCAATTTCAAAGAATCTTTATTAAAATCTTTTTTTGAACTAAAAGTAGAACTAACACTAGACTTAGAACGGGAAACATTTGGGTTTAGCCGCACGTCCCTCAAGATGGCTAAACCCGAATGATTCTATTTCTAGGTCTTGTGTTAGTTCTAGTGATAATGCTAGTGCAAAACTAGAACCAACAATAGACCGAAAACTAGAAACATTCGGATTTAGCTGCACGTCTTTCAAGATGGTTAAACCCGAATAATTTTAGTTCTAGATCTTGTGTTAGTTCTAGGGATAATGTAAAACTAAAACTAACACTAGACCAAGAACTAGAATCATTCGGATTTAGCCGCACGTCATTCAAGACGGCTAAACCCGAATGATTCTAGTTCTAGGTCTTGTGTTAGTTCTAGTGACACTGCAAGTATAAAGTTAGTACTAATACTATACCTAGAACTAGAATCATTCGGGTTTAGCCGTCTTTAGAGACATGCGGCTAAACCCAAATGATTCTAGTACTTGGTATAGTGTTAATTCTACATAGTAACAGTGCTAGTGTAAAACTAGAACTAACACTAGACCTACAACTAGAATGATTCATTACCTTTCTAGTTGTAGGTCTAGTGTTAGTTCTAGTGCTACTGCTAGTTCTGGTTTGAGTTGATTAATAAGACCAAAAAATCAAAATCATTGTCAAGGTTGTAATCTTGAAGATTTATCTTTAACATTAATCTATCCTGTTCCTTATCATTTATTTTTTTTGATAATTTTCGAGTTCATATACCTAATGTTACGCAATCTTTTATGACCATCTGAGTCGCGTGAATCAGCTTTATTTATTAACATTTTATTTACGAGCGTTTCCAAACGTGTTTAAACTTGACCGTTCACGTTTCGCCGTAACCGAAATAAAAAATGCAAGAAATAAAAAAAAACTATTCCAGTAGCACGCCGCGAAATGTGCGCGCGCATTTGATCCATTCTTGCCTGACTTTACCTACTCGCGTATCATCCCATCCATACACAGCCGGCTTTTAGTATCGCTGCGACCGTTGCGTTAAACGTGCGTGCGATTTTTCAAAAAAAATTTATGTTTCTCGTTACAAAAAATTGGAAGCGATTTTTTTTTTCAAATCAAACACGAATAAGCTTAGGAAATTATTAAAGAAATAAGCTTATTTTCTTGTTAATTTCGATTTTTAATACTGGCCTAGTGTGTAAAGTCAGTATTTAGATTCAGTTTGGATTTATCGATTTGTTGGGGTCTGAAAACTAACCTGAAAAGGGGTTCAGGAAATTGTTGACGTAGGTAAGTAAACGAAACCAAAAATTTATTTAATTTTTTTTTAATAGATTACATTCTGATATTTTCATGGTTAATGAAAGGTTTTGAAAATTACATAATTAGCATTTCCGGACTATCTGAAACATAATTATCTTGAGTCATGCAATATTTCAATTTTTAATGAAATTAATAATGGTCGATTGAGCGTAAAATAATAACGTTATAAAATAAAATTATTTGAAGCTGTGCCAAAATCTAAAATCGAAAGTTGGAGGCCCCAAATTTCATTAATTCCCCGACCTGGGATTACATTTTGATGATTACGTACAGACGAATTTTTTATTGCTGCGGATAAAAATAGCTAATTGTGAATTATATCAAGGTTGAATTTGGTTTACTAAGACTTGAATTTGTTTATTAAACAAATCTATAAATAGTTGATCAGATAAATCTTCATAATAATAACAAATTATGAAATTAATGAATCAATAATGTTGAAATGGAAAAAAATATACTTTATTCATTGTATTAACATGGAAATCCCCCACAAATCATTTCCTTCCTAAGATAAATAAAATTGTGGTATTTTTTATCGTTATTATAAAAATGATGTAAGTTTTGAATAATATTTAGAAAAATTGTTTTTTTTGAATAGGTGCTAAAACGCGTAATACTTGAATAATCTACTTTTTATGATTTGATAAGGAAATGATTAAATACCAGCAAAAAATGTTATGTAAATAGCTAAAACACTTTAAATAAATTGGGAAATGAATGAAATTCCAGATAAAATTCTTTATCATAGAATTACTTTAATTGATCGCAAAGGTCGGTTACTAATTATAAATATTGTATATACAAAGTATATAAAGAGAAAGTATTGTTATTGATGAATTTATTATTTTCACTCAAGCAGTTAACCATGTCCAGAGTGGCATCTTTTGAATATTTTTGCCAACCTTAATTATTAAAAAGACAATTATTAATACCACAACTGTATGGTATATTTATGTAAATGTGACAAAGTTAGAACAGAACATATAAACTGACAATGAAGTTTGTGCAAAACGCCAAGATTACTAACGCTGAGTGAAGGATTATATTGATAAAAATATTTATCGAAAGAGCAGAAGAAATGACGCTGAGAAAGAACTTCAAATGGAGAATGCCAAGCCAAAACGGTATAAATAACATTTGTTTGATTTTTTAGGAATGAAATTTAATTTTGCACCAATCTTGACACGGAAACTTTAACAAAATCGCAAGAATATTAACACTGACAAATAATACAGGGAAAATGTTTGCAGAAATACAAGATCAGTTTGCACTAACAAAGAACTCTGAAATATCTGTACAAAAATAAGTAATGATACACAAAATTCTGCAAAAAGTCAAGACACTCTCATAACAGAGAAATCTGGAATGATTGTTCTGCCAAAAGTTTTTTAGAAAAGGCCAACCTAATAGAAAGGCCCCAGGGCATAACCTTATTCCAAATTTAATTCTAAAACACCTCCCTTCGAATATTACTAGCCACTTAACTGATATCTTCAAGTCATGCTTAAAAATTGGTTACTTTCCGGTGACTTGGAAAAATGTTTCCGAAGCCAGGGATTTAACATCTTTTAATGTATGTTGAGCTGGTTTTAATAAATAAAAAAAATAAGGAAAGGCCAAATTACTCATGCTAATAAATAATATTCACAAAAGTGCTGGCAGAAGGAAATGAAGAATTGGCACTAATAAAAAAACGTTGATTACTGCGGAAAAATGAGCACATTGACAAAGATGTTTTTACAAAATCACTTACATTGAACCAGAAGTTTTTTCAAAAGATAAATAATGCTGGCAAGTAATGATACACAAAATTCTGCAAAAAGTCAAGATACTCTCATTAATAGAGAAAACTAAAATGATTGTTCTGCCAAAAGATTTTTAGAAAAGGCCAACCCAATAGAAGGGCCCCAGGGCATAACCTTATTCCAAATCTAATTCTAAAACACCCCCCTTCGAATATTACTAGCCACTTAACTGATATCTTCAAGTCATGCTTAAAAATTGGTTACTTTCCGGTGACTTGGAAAAATGTTTCCCAAGCCAGGGATTTAACATCTTTTAATGTATGTTGAGCTGGTTTTAATAAATAAAAAAAATAAGAAAAGGCCAAATTATTCATGCTGATAAATAATATTCACATAAGTGCTGGCAAAAGGAAATGAACAATTGGCACTAATAAAAAAACGTTGATTACTGCGGAAAAATGAGCACATTGACAAAGATGTTTTTACAAAATCACTTACATTGAACCAGAAGTTTTTTCAAAAGATAAATAATGCTGTTAAGTAATGATACACAAAATTCTGCAAAAAGTCAAGATACTCTCATTAATAGAGAAAACTGAAATGATTGTTCTGCCAAAAGATTTTTAGAAAAGGCCAACCCAATAGAAAGGCCCCAGGGCATAACCTTATTCCAAATCTAATTCTAAAACACCTCCCTTCGAATATTACTAGCCACTTAACTGATATCTTCAAGTCATGCTTAAAAATTGGTTACTTTCCGGTTACTTGGAAAAATGTTTCCGAAGCCAGGGATTTAACATCTTTTAATGTATGTTGAGCTGGTTTTAATAAATAAAAAAAATAAAGATAGGCCAAATTACTCATGCTAATAAATAATATTCACAAAAGTGCTGGCAGAAAAAACGTTGATTACTGTGGAAAAATGAGCACATTGACAAAGATGTTTTTACAAAATCACTTATATTGAACCAGAAGTTTTTACAATAGATAAATAATGCTGTTAAGTAATGATACACAAAATTCTGCAAAAAGTCAAGATACTCTCATTAATAGAGAAAACTGAAATGATTGTTCTGCCAAAAGATTTTTAGAAAAGGCCAACCCAATAGAAAGGCCCCAGGGCATAACCTTATTCCAAATCTAATTCTAAAACACCTCCCTTCGAATATTACTAGCCACTTAACTGATATCTTCAAGTCATGCTTAAAAATTGGTTACTTTCCGGTTACTTGGAAAAATGTTTCCGAAGCCAGGGATTTAACATCTTTTAATGTATGTTGAGCTGGTTTTAATAAATAAAAAAAATAAGGAAAGGCCAAATTACTCATGCTAATAAATAATATTCACAAAAGTGCTGGCAGAAGGAAATGAAGAATTGGCACTAATAAAAAAATGTTGATTACTGCGGAAAACTAAGCACATTGACAAAGATGTTTTTACAAAATTACTTACATTGAACCAGAAGTTTTTTCAAAAGATAAATAATGCTGGCAAGTAATGATACCCAAAATTCTGCAAAAAGTCAAGATACTCTCATTAATAGAGAAAACTGAAATGATTGTTCTGCCAAAAGATTTTTAGAAAAGGCCAACCCAATAGAAAGGCCCCAGGGCATAACCTTATTCCAAATCTAATTCTAAAACACCTCCCTTCGAATATTACTAGCCACTTAACTGATATCTTCAAGTCATGCTTAAAAATTGGTTACTTTCCGGTGACTTGGAAAAATGTTTCCGAAGCCAGGGATTTAACATCTTTTAATGTATGTTGAGCTGGTTTTAATAAATAAAAAAAATAAGGAAAGGCCAAATTACTCATGCTGATAAATAATATTCACAGAAGTGCTAGCAGAAGGAAATGAAGAATTGGCACTAATAAAAAAACGTTGATTACTGCGGAAAAATGAGCACATTGACAAAGATGTTTTTACAAAATCACTTATATTGAACCAGAAGTTTTTTCAAAAGATAAATAATGGTGGCAAGTAATGATACACAAAATTCTGCAAAAAGTCAAGATACTCTCATTAATAGAGAAAACTAAAATGATTGTTCTGCCAAAAGATTTTTAGAAAAGGCCAACCCAATAGAAAGGCCCCAGGGCATAACCTTATTCCAAATCTAATTCTAAAACACCTCCCTTCGAATATTACTAGCCACTTAACTGATATCTTCAAGTCATGCTTAAAAATTGGTTACTTTCCGGTGACTTGGAAAAATGTTTCCGAAGCCAGGGATTTAACATCTTTTAATGTATGTTGAGCTGGTTTTAATAAATAAAAAAAATAAGGAAAGGCCAAATTACTCATGCTAATAAATAATATTCACAAAAGTGCTGGCAGAAGGAAATGAAGAATTGGCACTAATAAAAAAACGTTGATTACTGCGGAAAAATGAGCACATTGACAAAGATGTTTTTACAAAATCACTTATATTGAACCAGAAGTTTTTTCAAAAGATAAATAATGCTGGCAAGTAATGATACACAAAATTCTGCAAAAAGTCAAGATACTCTCATTAATAGAGAAAACTGAAATGATTGTTCTGCCAAAAGATTTTTAGAAAAGGCCAACCCAATAGAAAGGCCCCAGGGCATAACCTTATTCCAAATCTAATTCTAAAACACCTCCCTTCGAATATTACTAGCCACTTAACTGATATCTTCAAGTCATGCTTAAAAATTGGTTACTTTCCGGTGACTTGGAAAAATGTTTCCGAAGCCAGGGATTTAACATCTTTTAATGTATGTTGAGCTGGTTTTAATAAATAAAAAAAATAAGGAAAGGCCAAATTACTCATGCTAATAAATAATATTCACAAAAGTGCAGGCAGAAGGTAATGAAGAATTGGCGCTAATAAAAAAACGTTGATTACTGTGGAAAAATGAGCACATTGACAAAGATGTTTTTACAAAATTACTTACATTGAACCAGAAGTTTTTACAAAAGATAAATAATGGTGGCACATAACGATACACAAAATTCTGCAAAAAGTCGAGATACTCTCATTAATAGAGAAAACTGAAATGATTGTTCTGCCAAAAGATTTTTAGAAAAGGCCAACCCAATAGAAAGGCCCCAAGGCGTAACCTTATTCCAAATTTAATTCTAAAACACCTCCCTTCGAATATTACTAGCCACTTAACTGATATCTTCAAGTCATGCTTAAAAATTGGTTACATTCCGGTGACTTGGAAAAATGTTTCCGAAGCCAGGGATTTAAC